CCAGCCATCCCTTTCTCACCTTCACACTTCCTACCAATCTCTATGTGGTCTCCACTTTCTGTCCTTGGTCATCAGGGTTCTCGCTAGCTAGTCTTCAGTTGATTATTCAGGATGGTTTTTCTGTGTTTTAGGTGCAATCCAATTTGGTCCTGGGCGCATGTCAGTGTAGCTTCCACTCACTCCAGTGGGATGACATTCTTGGTCTCTCACCCTGTCTCCTCAGATGCACACTTCTCCCCTACAGCTCTCTTCCTATTCTTCCTTAACCAATTGTCCCTTAGAGTACCTTTTATAGATCTCTTTCATCATCCATGGGATTCCTTAACTGTTCCTAATGAATATTCTCTCACCCTCATTTTTTCCTCTTCTGTTTAATATTAAACCCTATATTCAAACACAAATACAATTCTGACTCTTCTATAAACATGTATTTTCATACATTGTTTTCTCTGTTGAAAGTTCTCTCTCCTACTTTTAGGAATAAATTCTAACTCATCTTCAGAACCAAATTCAATGGTTATGTTAATTGTAAAGCTACTCATTTAAAATGCCTCAGTTTCTCTGTAATGCCACACTTCAGAAGTATTAAAAAATTTATCATGATTCCTGAATAAAAATAAATGTTTATAATGTGGAGAACTTACACGAAAATTCTTATTTAAAATAGGTTAAAATGATTTTAAGTTTTTAAAATCGGGCTTGAGCTATATTCCTAGAAGTGGGAACACTGAGTCAAATGGAAGTTCCATTTTTAGTTTTTTGATGAAACTCCATACTGTTCTCCACAGTGGCTGCACCAGTCTGTATTCCCACCAGTAGCGCATGAGGGTTCCTTTTTCTCCACATCCTTGCCAGCACTTGTCGTTTGTGATTTATTGATGGTAGCCATTCTGACAGAGGTGAGATGGTACCTCATTATCATTTTGATGTGCATCTCTCGGATGATTAGTGACTTTGAGCATATTTTCATGTCTCTTGGCAGTCCTCTTTCAAAAAGTATCTATTTAGGTCAGTTGCCCATTTTTTGATTGGGTTGTTTATCTTTCTATTGTTAAGTTGAATGAGTTCTCTGTAAGTGTTGGACATTAAACTCTTATCAGAGATAACATTGGCAAATATGTTCTTCCATGCAGTGGGTTTTCTTGTTGTTTTGAGGATGGTTTCTTTTGCTGTACAGAAGCTTTTTATTTTGATGTAGTTCCATTTGTTTATTTTCTCTTTAGTTTCCATTGCCTTAGGGGCTGTATTGGTGAAGAAATTGCTTCGGTATATGTCTGAGATTTTGTTGCCAAGAAAGATAAGTATCACATGATCTCACTCATTTGCAGATTGTAATAAACAACATAAACTGATGAACAAAAGCAGATCCAGAGACAGAGAAGCATCAATCAGATGCTCAAACCTCAGAGGAAAGGGAAGGGAGTGTGGGAGTAAGGGGTAAAGGTCAACCAAAGGACTTGTATGCATGCATATAAGCATAACCAATGGACATAGACACCAGGGGAGTGAAGGCATGAAAGGGAGTGGGGTGGGAGCAATGGGGGGAAAAGGACACATATATAATACCTTAATCAATAAAATAAAAATTAAAAAATGGTCTTTATTATGCACAGTCTGGCATGGGATTATTTGATTGACATAGGATGATACCAAATAATTCATTTATCATTTATAAAATGATAATTAGTTGTTTCATGACTATTTCCAAAATCTGTTTATAATATTAAATCAAGATATTTGAATATTTATAAAAAACACAATTAAAAAAATGCTTTTCTAGAAAATAAAATTATACTTTTGGATAGCTCTAGTTAAACTAAACATGCTTTAAAAGCCTTAAGAGATATGCTTTTGTGTTCTTCAATTATAAATACTTTGAATGAACCATGCTTTTAAAGAGTTTTATATATTGAAAAGATATGTAAAATGCTTCATCCTTTTAAAAAGAAAGCTGTAACAAATTTCATGAAAATACAACTAACAAGTGGGACTGTATGGGAATAGAAAAAAATCTTTATTAAAAATTGAAATCACAGCATTTCTCTAAATATAGTATACATTAATAATAAATTTACTGCATATTTAGAATAATTTTGAGCAATTTCACTTTGTTTTTATTGTTTCTATGTGGGTTATGCATAATTATGGAGCTTAACTATCATTCTAATATAATTTTTCCCAATGACACACTTTATATCTTTCCTAATTACATCTGTAGCAACATCATTTTCAGAAAACCTATGTCTATTTATTATTCTTTACACCACTGAAAATAGACTCTATTTTAATCACTTTCAAATATTCCTTACTGTTTCCCTTAGAATTATAATATTCAATTAGCTGATGGCACAGGGTACTTTTCAGAGTTTGATATCAGAAGTATCCTTAACCTGATTGTTAAGCCTTAGAGAGGGATACTTTTCTTGTACAAAAGGAGTTTTGAACTTTCATTAGAATGTTTCCAAGATGCTTTAATTTCAAACACACTTTAGTACAATTAGGACTGCTTTAACCAGGGATATTTTAGAAATAATCTACATAGCAAAATGGAAAAGCACTGAGTTGTCAATGAATAAACAACCACAATAACATGGTTTGATATCCCATATACCAAAGAGAAAAAATGTGTATTCTGTGATATTAACTATTATAATTGCTAATATGTTACAATTTAAGCAAATTATTTCAAAGAATATGAGAATCCTTGAAACTGTAACCATTCTTTAAATCTGAATTTAAAATACAGCACTATTTAATATCTTGGACACCAGGGTAGAGTAAATACAAATTGAAAGGCCAATATTTTACTGCCTATGTTTTCTTAATTTTTATAGTTTCAAATTTAACAGTTAAGTCTTTAATCCATTTTGCATTTATTCATGTGTATGGTGTAAGAAAGTGGTTTAGTTTCTTTTTCTTTCTTTCTTTTTTTTTTTGCGAATATCTGCCCAATTCTCCAAACACCATTTCTTGAATAACCCATCTTTACCCCATTGTATGTTTTTGCCGTTTTTGTCAAATATTAATTGACCATAGAAGCGTGGGTTTATTACTGGGCTCTCTATTCTGTCCCATTGATCTATATGTCTGTTTTTATGCCACCACCAGGCTGTTTAGATTACTGCAGCCTTGTAGTATAGTTTGATTTGAGGTAGCGTGATTCCTTCAACTTTGTTCTTCTTTCTTAAGATTGCTGTGGCTATTTGGGGTCCTAGAAGAAATTTGGCATTTTCTAGGAGGAAATATAGGCAGTAAAATCTCAGACATTTCTTAGAGCATTATTTTTTCTGATGTATTGTTGTGGGAACGGGAAACAAACAAAAAAATAAACAAATGGGATTTCATCAAAGTAAAAAGTTTTTGCACTGCAAAGAAAACCATCCTATCTAATAAAAGACAAAAGAGTAATTGACTGTACCTTCACTACGCTTCCCATTGGCTAATCAGGGCGATATGCAAATTAACTGCCAACCAAGATGGTGGCCGGCAGCCATGCACCTGAAGTGAGCAGGAGCGCCCACCAGGCTGAAAATTTCCCTCAGCCCCTCACCCAGGCTGGCCAGGCACCCAAGCAGGCCCCCCCCCCTGATCCAGGACCCCCTTCAAGGCAAACCAACTGGCCCCCACCCTTGCACCAGCCTCTATCCTATCTAGTAAAAGGGTAATATGCAAACTGACCCTAACAGTAGAAAGACTGGGAATGACTGGTCACTATGACACACACTGACCATAGGGGGCAAATCCTCAATGCAGGAGCTGCCGCCTTGTGGTCAGTGCACTCCCACAGGGGGAGCTCTGCTCAGCCACAAGCCAGGCTGATGGCTGCCAGTACAGCGGTGGTGGTGGGAGCCTCTCCAGCCTCCTCAGCAGCACTAAAGATGTCCAACTGCAGCTTAGGCCGGCTCCTCACTGGCAAGTGGACATCCCTGGAGGTATCCCGGGCTGCCAGAATGAAGTATGACTGCCAGCTTATGCCCTATTCCTGAGGGAGCAGGCCTAAGCCAGCAAGTGGTCATCCCCCAAGGGGTCCCAGACTGCAAGAGGGCACAGGCCAGGCTGAGGGAACCCCCCCCCCACCGAGTGCACAAATTTTTGTGCACCGGGCCTCTAGTCTATATAATAAAAACCTAAGCAAGTGTTATGGCAGAATGACCAGTCACTACAATGCGCACTGACCACCAGGGGGCAGATGCTCATAGCAGGAGCTTCCCCCTTGTAGCTGATGTGCTCCCACAGGGGAAGCGCCACCCAGCCGGAAGCTGGGCTCACAACTGACAAGCGGAGTAGCGGTGGTGGGATCCTCTCCCACCTCTGTGGTAACGTTAAGGAGCAGCAAGCTGAGCGGTAGGAAGCAGCGAACAGGCAGGTGGTAAGAAGCAAGAGGTCCCAGACTGCAAGAGGGTGCAGGTTGGGCTGAGGGATACCCTCCCAGTGCATGAATTTTGTGCACTGGGCCTCTAGTTAAGAAAATGAAAGACAACCCACTATATTTGTCAATATATCTGGTAAGGGCTTAATATTCAAAATTTTTTTAAAAACTTACAAAACTCAACACCAACACTTCCGCCCCACCCACACACAAAAACAAACAATCCAATTAAAAAATGGGCAAAGGATCTAAAGAGACACTTCTCCAAAGAGGACATACTAATATATATGAATAGACATATGAAAGGATGCTCAATGTCACTACTTATTAGAGAAATGCAAATTAAAACCACTATGAGATATCACTCATACCTATCGGAATGGCTATCATCAAAAAATCAACAAACAACAAGTGTTGGTGAGGATACTGAGAAAAGGAACCCCAGTACATTATTGTTGGGAATGCAGATTGGTGCAGTGACTGTGGAAAGCAGTATGAAGTTAATTCAAAAAAATAAAAAATGGAACTGCCTCATTAAAATTCCAGTTCTGGATTTATATCCAAAGAAACCACTAATTTGAAAGAATATATGCACCTTTTGTTCATTGCAGCATTATTTACAATAGCCAAGATTTAGAAGCAGACCAAGTTCCCATCAGTAGATGAGTGGATAAAAAGCTGTGGTATATTTACACGGTGGAATAATACTCAGCTGCAGAAAAGAAGGAAATCTTTTGCAATAGCATGGATTGACCTGGAGAGTATTATGCTTAGTGAAATGAGCCAGTCATAGAAAGGTAAGTATCACATGATTTCATTTTCATGTGGAATCTAATGAACAAGATAAACTAATGAAGTGGAGACAGACTCATGGATACAGAGAAAAGACTGACAGCTGTCAGAGGGGATGGGATTGAGGGCTGGGTGAGAAGAGTGAAGGGATTAAGCAAAGAAAAAAAAAGACACATGGACACAGAAAATAGTATGGTGATTGCTAGAAGAAAGGAGGGGTGGAGGGAGATAGTAAAAGGTAAAGAGGAGAACAAATGGTGATGGAAGGAAACTTGACTTGGGGTGGTAAACACACAGACAATATACAGATAATGTATTGTAGAATTGTATACCGGAAACCTATATAATTTCATTAACCAATGTCACCCCAATAAATTCAAGAAAAAAAAGTAAATTTAAAAATAATATAAATCCTCATAAAACAAAAGAAAAATGTTAACACTGAGGAAGTTTAACTAATTAAAGTGTGCCGGGAGCCGGTCCATCCTTGCTGTTTCAAGAGACCTGGCATATATGGCATACTGTTCTTAATATGTTTGCTCACCTTCTTGGCACTATGTGTTTTAACCAAGGTCACCTCTCTGAGAAAGGTTGTTTCCCCAGGTAGGGATTTTCCCCTGAAGTTAGGGAGGGAATAAAACCTCTTAACTGCCAGACAGAACCTGGCTGCAGAAGCCGGCTACAGAACCTGGCGACTGAACCTGGCCGGAGAACCTAGCGAGAGAACATGGCTACAGAACCTGGCTGGAGAACCTGGATAATGTGGCTGGAGAACCTAGCAAGAGAACATGGACACAGAACTTGGCTGGAGATTGTGGCTAGAGATCCTGGCAAGGCTGCTGATCAACTGAACGCTGTCTCCCTGTCATTCCTTCTTGGCCGACTCCGTCCACACCTTTGGGGACTCCTGGACCTGCTGGGGTTGGACCCCAGCAAAAGTGTATGCATTGGTTAAAACATTCCTAGACTTGGTGCCCCAAAGACACATTTCTTATATCTTTCTCACATTCTGTGGTATTCAAGTCAGCAAAATGTATTGTGGAAAAGGGCAAAGAGTATTATGTCCAACATTTACCTCTTATATCGTCTTTAAATGGACTGACAGAATTCTAAACCAATGCCAATCAGATTCTGTAGAGGTAATACTGGCTACGTTCAAGTTTGCATTTCCATAATGACTACTCTTCACCACAACATATACATGTTGTACTTTCTGTATCAGTGAAAAAGCTTTAAAAACATTAGTTTGCTATCAATAAATATCTGACTGATTCTATCATCTTTCCTACAAATTACATATTGGCTATAGTTAGTAAAATATGAATTAGTAAAATATAAAAAAAGTGCTGCCACACTTTCTGGCCCACACCTCCCACCATGCTTCACATTTCCACAGATTATTAATAAAAATCCCTATGGAGCAGCCACTCTGTGCAAGCTACTGAGATCCAGTGCAGAAACAGAGATGTAGTTCCTGAACTTATGGAGCATATAACTGAGCAGGGAAGGCAGATGCTAAATAACCACAAGGCTAGTTATTGATTTGTAAAGATAGTAAGGGCTCAGAAGAAGCAGGGAAAGCCTTAGAGAATGATGTAGTCTGGGAGCTGTTGGGTCATCTTTGACATGCTTAGTCAATGGGAAAAAAACAAAGAAAATAAACCTACAAAATGGGTCTGCAAACTAAAAGGAAGGCAACATGGCGTGGGGCCTTTCAAGAATGTCTATGTATTCTGCCTCTCACTCTGGCTTTCAGACTTGCCAAATCTTTTTGCTTTTTCAATTGCACATCTCTTAATCCTCAGAAATATTTTTTAAAAAACCAAACAAACTAAAAGTGGCAAAGCTGTTAAAATTCCGGAAAAAAAAAATAAGGAAAGAAAAGCAAGGAAGGTGGAACAGAAATAGAAATGGCTCTTCCCAGTGCACAGAACAGAATATGTTTTGGGGAATCCAAAACAGTTTCATGGCAATTCAGGTCAGTAGTTCAATACTACTTCTCTAAAGCTCATCTCTCAATTGGTTATGAATTCTTTTACAGTAGTCCTCAAAGTTCCCTATATTCCCATAAATGCCCAGCTATTGAAACTGGCAGATAAAAGCTCTCAATCTTCAACTGTTCAAAATCACAGTTTGCAAAATAATTGTTTATTCCAGATCAGCTAGTTTTTCCTGATAAAATAGGTGTTAGACATGCAAATTTTATGCCATCATCATTTCCATTGATTACTGACAGAAATGTTAGGGATCTGATGGCATCCAATTAAATAAAGCAATTTCAAATGGATGAAGGGAGGGCATTTTGTCCTAATGTGAATCATTTTATTTTTATGAAACCTATTACACACATATAAATAAATGCAAGACATGGTCCCTGCCTCTAATGAACATATTTCCATTGTTATTAGCCATTCACATATCCCCAAGATACTTGTGTGCTATGCAAAACATAGTGGTGGGCTGAGAAATATCCCATGCTATTATATTCAGTGGTAATTAACATTTAAAATCCTGGAAACAGTGCACTGAGTGGGCAGTAAACGGGTTAGATATGATAGCTGGCAACATCATCTACTGGGCAGCACATTTGAGTGGGAGTCATATTTCTAAATTCAAGGCAGTCCTCTCCTCAAAGCAAATTACTTGACTCCTTAATTTCTCGTCCTTAAAGGTTGGGAGAAATGCTTGGGAAGAGAGAACATTGGTGAAGATACCGAAGATCTTGTTTTACAGAGTTTTTCATTTCATACCAATTAATAATTCACATATTAATTAGGTAGTTCTTAAATACATTTGGGGAACCCCTAGATTTTATTTATTTATTTATTTACTAGGGGCCTGGTGTACAAAATTCGTGCACTAGGGGGGTGGAGGGGAGTGTCCCTCAGCCCAGCCTGCCCCCTCTCACATACTGGGAACCCTCAGGCGTTGACCCCCATCACCCTCCAATCGCAGGATCGGCCCCTTGCCCAGGCCTGATGCCTCTGCTAGAGGGGTCAGGCCTGGGCAGGGGACCCTCATTTCCCCCCATCACTGGTTCTGCCCCCAGCCCAGGCCTAATGCCTCTGGCCCAGGCATCAGGCCTGGGCAGGGGACCCCCAACACCCCCCATCGCTGGCTCTGACCCCCGGCCAGGCCTGATGCCTCTGGCCCAGGAATCATATTTCTCTTTTATTAGTGTAGATTTATTTATTTATATTTTTAATTTCTTTATTTCAGTTTATTTTGTAACTTAGATTCCACATATGAGTGAGATTCCCCCATCTCCCTCTGATCGATTGCTCCACCCCCCCGCCCAAGCCTGACGCCTCTGACTTAGGCTTCAGGCCTGGGCAAGGGGACCATCATATCCCCCCAATCCTTGGCTCCGCCCCCCACCCTGGCCTGATGCCTCTGGCCCAGAGGAGTTGACCCTCATCACCCTCCAATCACCGATCACCGGATCATCCCCTTGCCCAGGCCTGAGGCCTCCGGCAGAGGTGTCAGGCATGGGCAGGGGACCCCCAGCTCCCCGTGGTTACAGGCTCCGCCCCTGCCCAGGCCTAACGACTCTGGCTGAGGCATTAGGCCTGGGCAGCAGGGACCAAAAGCTCCCTGCAATCTCCTGCTCTGCCCCTGCCCAGCTCCCCGCGGTTGCAGGCTTAGCCCCTGCCCATGCCTAACTCCTCTGGCCAAGGCATTAGGCCTGGGCAGAGGACTCCCAGCTCCCCGTGATCTCCCGTTCTGCCCCTCCCAGGCCTAACGCCTCTCCACCCCTGCCCCCACAGGACGCCTCTGGCTGAGGCGTCTGGCCCGGGCAGCGTGGACCTGCAGCTGCAGTGGCCCCGCGATTGCGGGCTCCACTTTAGGCCCAGGCAAGGGACCCCTAGCTCCCAGGACTGCCAGCTTCGACCCTGCCAAGCTCCCATCGCTGGCTCCCCCCCTACTTCCTGCTATCACTGGCCAGGGCGACAAAGGCGCCCAATTCTCCAATCATGGCTGCCCCCTGGCTCTTAGCTCCCCCCTTGGTTTCCTTCCGATCACTGTCAGTGGCAGTGGGCTTCTTCCTGCTTTCCCTTTGGCCTCCCTGCATTGTGCCTACATATGCAAATTAACCGCCATCTTTATTGGCAGTTAACCGCCATCTTTGTTGGCAGTTAACTGCCATCTTAGTTGGCAGTTAATTTGCATATCACCCTGATTAGCCAATGCAAAGGGTAGCAATCGTACGCCAATTACCATATTTCTCTTTTATTAGTGTAGATTTATTTATTTATATTTTTAATTTCTTTATTTCAGTTTATTTTGTAACTTAGATTCCACATATGAGTGAGATCATGTGATGCTAGTTTTTCTATTACTGGCTTATTTCACTTAACATGATACCGCCCAGGTCCCTCCATGCTGTCTCAAAGGGTATGAGATTCTTCTTTTTTTACTGCTGCATAGTATTCCATGGTATAAATGTACCACAGAGTTTTTATCCACTCACCTGCTGATGGGCACTTGGGCTGTTTCCAAATCTTAGCTATTGTACATCGTGCTGCTATAAACACAGGAGTGCACACATTCTTTCTGATTGGTGTTTCAGGTTTCTTAAGATATATTCCTAGAAGTGGGATCACTGGGTCAAATGGCAGTTCCATATTTAATTTTTTGAGGATAGTCCATACTCTTTTCCATAATGGTTGCACCAGTCTGCAGGGATCTCTAGAATTTAAACCTTTGAAATATCTGAGGATTCTACTTATACCCATAAGGTGATAGAAGTAGGGTAGAGTATAACATTCTTTTACACTGTATTCACATAGTTATATTCAGGTTTCTATAGTCTATATAAATGTGTTCTTACTTTTTATCACTATCTTCTTATAAAATTAATATATGTCTATATTTTTATATATTTTTAAAATATATTTTTATTGATTTCAGAGAGGAAAAGAGATCTAGAAACATCAATGATGAGAGTCATTGATTGGCTGCCTCCTGCATGCCCCTTATTGGGGATTGAGCCCACAATCTGTGCATGTGCTCGGACCAGGAATAGAACCATGACATCCTGGTTCATAGGTTGATGCTCAACCACTGAGCAACATCAGCCAGGCCATATATTAATTTTTAATAGTTAAACCTCAAGTCAGGAATTTTGACCTAAATTTGAAGTGAAAGGCAAAATGGAAACTTTATAACTGAGCACAAGGAAAGTAGAGTGTTCTCAATTCTGCTCCATATTAGAATTATCTGAGATTTTAAAAAACACACACTGAATCCTTAACACCTCACACAAGCCAACTTCTACAAAGGGCTGCAATTAACATTATCCTATATAAAAAAAGCCTAATATGCAAATCCTTCCAACAGCAGAATGACTGGTCACTATGATGTGCACTGACCACCAGGGGGCAGACACTCAACTCAGGAGCTGCCCCTTGGTGGTCAGTGCGCTCCCATAGGGGGAGTGCCGCTCAGCCAGAAGCTGGGCTCAGGGCTGGCAAGTGCAATGGCAGTGGTGGGAGCCTCTCCTGCCTCCACTGCAGGTGGGTGGTAAGGAGTGAGGAGTTCTGGACTGTGAGAGGGATGTCCACCTGCTGGCTTAGGCCCAGGGGGATTGGGCCTAAGCCGGCAGTTGGACATCCCCCGAGGAGTTCCGGACAGCGAGAGGATGCAGGCCGGGCTGAGGGACCCCCTCCACTGCAGGAATCTTGTGCACCGGGCCTCTGGTCCTATATAATAAAAACCCAATATGCTAAGTATCCAGATGCCTGGTGACCAGTCAACTGTTCAACCAGTCAAAGTGTAATATGCTAATGATATGCTAAGGCTGCTCAACCACTCACTTTGATGTGCATTGAACACCAGGAGGCAGATGCTCCAATCATGCACCAGTGAGGTCCCTCGGCCTGGCTTGCACCCTCTCACAATCCGGGACCCCTCTGGGGATGTCAGAGAGCTGGTTTCATCCCTATCCCATAGGCCACTCCCCTTGGGAGGGCACCAGATGCAGAGCTCACACCTGGTGAGCATTTCTGTGGCAGCGCGAGCCTCTCCTGATCGGGACTGATTGGGTGTGAGCCCGTGGCAAGTGCAGTGGGGCCGGGATGAGTGGGAACTGCAGGCAGTGTTGGACTGCGGGTTTTGGTCTGATCCCCACAGGCCACCCAGAGGGGTCCCACCCATGCACGAGTTTGTGCACCAGGCCTCTAATATCTAAGATGGAGCACTGTATCTGAAAACATAGTTGACTATAGAATAAATGGCTTATTGATATCATAATACATGATAAAATAATAATGTTTCTAGACTTTATAGGTCATATTTTGGGCACCCAAGTTCATTCTGGGAGAGGTTGGTTGTCAACAATGAACTTTATCAAAAATAGGATAAAATGCTCTAGCTGGTTTGGCTTAGTGCAGGGGTGGGCAAACTTTTTGACTCGAGGGCCACAATGGGTTCTTAAACTGGACCAGAGGGCCGGAACAAAAGCATGGATGGAGTGTTTGTGTGAACTAATATAAATTCAAAGTAAACATCATTACATAAAAGGGTATGGTCTTTTTTTTCAATAGTTTTATTCATTTCAAACGGACCGGATCCGGCCCGCGGGCCGTAGTTTGCCCACGGCTGGCTTAGTGGATAGAGGGTTGGCCCTCAGACTAAAGGGTTCCTGGTTTGATTCTGGTCAAGGGCACGTCATACCTCGGTTGTAGGCTCAATCCCTGGCCTGGTCAGGGAGCGACCAATCCATGTGTCTCTCTCACATCAATGTTTCTCTCTCTGTCTCTCCTGCTCCTTTACACTCTGTGAAAATCAATGGAAAGTATCCTCAGGTGAGGATTAACAACAACAACAAAAAGAATGGATCAATGGCTTGGCCAGTGTGACTCAGTAGGTACTGAACACCAGGGGGCAGTTGAGAATCAACCTATGACCCAGGAAGTCACAGTTGCAAGCTCAATCTCCAGTAGTGGGGGGGGCGTGCAGGAGGCACCCGATCAATGATTCTCATCATTGATGTTTCTTGCTCTCTCTTCCTCTCTGAAATCAATAAAAAATATATTTTTTAAAAAGAATGGGATAAATGAAAGGAATTTGAAAGTGCGGAGTAAAAGAGGAGAAGGGCCCACAGGGGTGCCAAAAGGAAGGAGGAGGAGGCACTCAAAGGCAGTGGGACACAGCCTAACACGTGCTGTCTGCTCCACAGTTTTCCTGAGGACTGTCTTTGTAGAGTAGTGCTGGCGTTTGCCCTAGAGCCACAGCTTACCAAGCCTGGCTGTACACTGGCATCACCTGGGGAGCTACCCAGTAAATAGAAATCACTGAGAGGGGACCCAGGAATGTACAACTTTTAAAAAGTGCCACAGATGGTGCTGCAGAGCGAGCACACAGGGCTGTAGAACAGCCCTCCCAGGAAGGTGTGGAATGGATCTTTGGAGGCCTACCCACCTGCAGTTTGATCTTGGACACCACAGAAGCTACTGAGTAAAGAATCCTAAGGATCCAGACAGTGATTAGCAAAGTCCAATGCGCATGAGTAGCCTGTTAAATGAAGGTGTCTGAGCCCCAGACCAGAGGTTTGTGATTTAACATGTCTTAGGTTCAGGCCAGAAGCCTGTGTCCTTCATAAGCTCCCAGATGATCCTGACAGAGGTGGTTTCAGGACAACAATTTGAGACACTGTGTGGGGGTGTTGCCAAAACACGATCACAAACCATCTTGTGCAGGACTGAATGTACACCAGTGGTAGAGAAGCCCAGCCCCTTCTTTCCAACACGTGGGAAGCATAAAATGGGCGTTTGTTTACACCACATAGGTCATGGCCTACTTAGTAAAAAAAAGTGTTTCTCTTCCTCCGAGGTGGATCCGGTGGAGGATGGAGAGGAGAGTTGTCAGCTCAGCAGAGGAGATGAATTATTTCACAAGTGGAGGTTTCAATTTGTACTGAGTGATGCTTACATGATACTTTCTAGAAAGGCTTTTTAAAATATCTATAGACTTCTATGAAGGCAATTATTTTGCTTTTATGAAATATTTCTTTTAATAGCAATAGTAAAGTGACTTAGAATGCATCCATAAATAAATAAACATAGCCATTTAAAAAATGTCTTGGAGTCTTCCTGACAGGAAACAAAGGTCTCTTCTTATTTATGTTGTGTAGAGGTACTGAATAGGCACAACAGTTATGATCGTCTGCAAACATGTAAGAGAGAATTAAAGCCCAGTAGATGGCACTGTTTGCTTTTTACAAGTGACTTCAGTGAGAAAACATTCCCCGCATCCCCAAACCTATTTGTTTTGACAATAATATAAATCCAACTTCCATTTTTAAAAAGCATTACTTACAAGGAGCCCAATCATTATGTCCTTTTCCGAACCCACATTGAGTAACTCTGTCACGATTTATTAAATAGAAAAGTACTTAAGGATTATTAATCTTGTCTGAGAGCAGAAAGCAGTTAACTTGC